CTCTCTCTCTCTCTCTCTCTCTCTCTCTCTCTCTCTCTCTCTCTCTCGCTACGAACCACGGAGGAGGGGGGGGGGTTTGGAGATGAATTTGTTGGATTTTCTTGTTTTCGGTTTGTCTACGGTGAAGTGGTGAATCCGGAGCTTGTCAATAAAACACTTGTCTAGACGTCTGGTCTCAATCTCGCCTTGAAGCTGTTAAAAAAGTTTCAGTTGATAGACGTCTATATTGATCCGAGCTTTGTTTTAACGTTATTATATTTCAGTGTGAACATTGAAATTCAGTTGAAATGATGTTTGCATTTGAGTCTAGAATCAAATTTCAAGTCCTTTACGTCAAATCCAAGTCAGTGTCTTAACGAGCAAACTGAAAGTCAAGACTTTTTTGGAGCTGCGTTAATTGTCCTTTCATTGCAGAGGCCTTTGTGGAGTTGTCATGTTTCACTTAAAGTTAATGTCCGAGTCGGTCTCGAGTCTTTATTTTTGTGTCCTAAAATCCTGTATATTGTGATGAAGATCACATAAGCCTTAAGTCACACTCAAGTCTGAAGTCTACAGCTTTAGTTCCAGTTTAAGAACGTCTCACACCTCGGTGCTCCCTGGGAGGACTCGCTGTTTCTGGACCATTTTGGATCGAGCTGCAAAGATGAATCGATTAGTTGTCAACTATTAAATTACTATTATCGACTATTTTGATGATCAGTTTATTGCTTTGAGTAGATTTTTTTAAGGAGAAAGAAAATGTTGTCTGATTCCAGCTTCTTAAATGTGAATATTTTCTGGTTTCTTTACTCCTCTGTGACGGTAAACTGAATATCTTTGAGGTTTGGACTAAACGAGAAGTCTGCGGACGTTCTCTTGAGCTGATCGATTTTATTTTACCATTTTGTGACATTTTATAAACCAAACAACTAATCGGCAGATCAATCAACAATGAAAATCAATTAACGGTTAGAAACGATCAATTCCCAACTGTGTTCTCGAGATGTTTTGCATGTTCTCCTGTGATGATAATCCTCCATGCACCAGCAGGACCATGTACTACTGGAGCTGTGTTTTCATGTCACTTTTCATTCAGACTTTGGAAGAGCCTCCCTTTTATAGCTTTGTGTCAAACTTTTTGTGTGATTCTTATGTCGTCTCTTTTTGTTCTCCTATCTCTAAAATGATTTCCAGACATCTTACTTAATTACATAGAGGCTATATGACGAATCTCTGAAAGACGGCTGTATAATGATGTCTGATTAGAAGATAAAATCCACATTGTTCTCATTCTCTTTGTCTTGTTTGGCTCCTTATACGTTCTACATAAAGAAATGAGCAAATATGAGAAAAAGAAAATCAAGTACTCTGCCTGCAGGACTGATGAAGGTTTCATCTCCTTTCATGTTCCCCCTCATCTATACTGGTGCCTCTGACCAAGGCCTCTTACCTTTGAACAAAAGCGCCTCCCACCGATGTCCTCCTACAGCTTTATCAATGTTAAAAAATGTAGCGAGATTTCTCTCTAGTGGAGGTCAGCTCTGTATAAAAGCTGCTGAAACTTCTTTCGAGTTCTTGACAGTGAAAACTTCAGCTTCAAATCAAACGGTAAGAAGTGCAGATGTCAAAGGTGAAAACCTGAGGAGTATTTCTATACATCATGTACTTTACTTTCCCTCCAGAAAGGTCAATACTGCTTTTACCCTCAGGTGGAGGCTCATGGTCAGCTGGTCCGGTGCAGGTGGAGCTGATTTGTTTGCTCACGGATACCACAGAAGCCGTGGTGGAAAGTCCATTTCAAGTACTGTACTTAAGTACACTTTTGAGGTACTTGACTTTCCATTTTATGCTATACTTTATACGTTGATATAGCAACATTTCCTCATATTAGAAAATGTAATCTGGACAGTATTATGTTTCCTTCTAAATGTATTTTCTGTTGTCTAAATCAGTCAAAATGTGTTCAACCAGCTTGAAATATTTCACAAGAGCCTCTGAAACCAAACTAAACTCTTCACAAGATTTCATTTAAATAATGTAAATAAGGCCCACAGACATCAAATGATCCCATATTTAGCAAACAGAACATTTTTAAGGGTCACCATTTTGAGAAATTTGCTACCAATTCTTGGCCTTTTGTTGCCACCATGTTGCAACCACTTTTCTAATTTGAAATAGAGAACGCAAACAGCCAAACGTGCACCCCAAAATAAACAATTATTAAAAAAATACGTGTTGCATTAGTGATATTTGAATGTTGCTGTTCCAGTCGGAACTGAAACCAGACGACGCTGCGTGTGCGTTGGTGTGTTACTTGTGAGCGCACATGGATCTGTTGTAGAGACGAGTTGTTGTTTCACTGCGGGGGTGAAAGTTCGAGTCGCACATCAAAATTGCAACCACTTTTAAAAAGTTGGAGATGAGTCCTGTATTGGTACTTTTACTTTGGAGGATCTGAGTATTTCTCTCAGCTGCTGGAAAAATCAAACCGTATCCCTCCACACCTTCTGGCAGGTTGGAGGTGTTTCACTGCAGCACATTTTCACGTGAAGCCGTCAATATTTATGAAATCAGTCATTATGATTCAGAATGTGTGCGCATGAAGCATTGATTCGGCTGCTTGGAGACATTTACGCTAATGTATTCCTCCCTAAAGTTTAGCCAGATCTCTCTGCTGGTCGGGGCGCAGTGTCCCTGAGTTTCTGTATTAGTATTCAAACGCTCCCACTGGGCCATTCTTCTTATGAAGGCATGACATTCCCTACCTGAGAGAGCCTTGACGTGGAGAAGAGAGAGAGGGTGAGGTGGCTGGTGTGCAGTCGGTAATGAGAAGGACTACAGTTCATATTTTTGGAGATGATTGCTAAATTTCTTACATGCAGCTCTCGCTCTCTGGAGCTTTTCAGTCAGCTGAGAGAGTTCACACAGTTCATATGAGGAAATTCAGTTGTTTGAATATTTTAAGAATGGCAGTCATGAGAAATGTTGCAGATTACAGTAAAAAATAAAAAAAGCATCTTCTGCCAAACAAAAACAGACATTTCTTCCAAAATCCAGAGTTATTTCAGTTATAATCAGTGTCTAACTCTTTGATTTAAATATATATATTTCATAGAGTATGTAGTGCAGTGTTATTACCAGTATCTGCTCCTCTTTTTTTCTCATCATAGTTTGAGTTGTGGAAGAGTGCCTCTCCTTGTTCTCCTGTCCCACCATGTGTTCAGATGAGGAAGGGTAGGCATTATGATTATTATTATGATTATTACTAATATCAGTATTAACACGTAACAGCGCTGTGGTCACGACATCAACCAGGGGCCACAAGATTATTTAAAAAATTCATTTTACTGATGAAATATACTTTCACCTCTTCCATCTAATGAAACAATCTGAGAAATAAAATCATTCTGTGGTTGAACTGCTCACAACTAATCTTGACCTACTTAGACTGCAGGGTTTAAGGGTCTCAAGGGACCAGAGGTCCTAACTAATGGCTATTAGAGTAACATTGGAGCTGGTAGAAGGGCTATTGACTTCATTTAGGTTTCTGGATTTAAAATGCGTTACAATCCCTCCTCTCTGTTCCTCCTCTCTTCAATAATGTCAGCAGCAGTTATTTTATTTTCATTATGCGAAAGCTTCACATATAAGTTATGAGACACATGTATGCAAACAAGGTTTTTGAATATTTGAATATCAATTGGAATTTCGTATTTGATGCGTAAAAACATGAATTCACAATTGCTTATCCACAACATGAATCAAATATTCAAAACCGATTGATAAATATTTTATTTAGTCAATTACCATAAACGTGTAACAGCTCAACAAAATAGCTAAACAGACAGTAAAACTACTTGTTATATGATTATACATATTCTTTTATTTCTTATTTGTCTTTTGTTCGTAATCAGTAAGTAAAGTACGAGACCCTTCGCTAAGTCCCGCCGCCAAACTCAGACTGACCATTCACAGCGTAGCATCGTTCAGCTCCAACCAGGGTCCGAAAGTTAGCCGGCTCTGCTCCGTAGACTCTCGAGCAATTGTTTCATATTTTTCTTAATTTTTTCTGGTTTAGTGGATTTGAAGCTAGTCGTGGCTAAACATTGTGTAATAGTGATACTTGTTACCCGGAGAGGTTGGACGTTTCTAAAACTGAAGTGTTGGTTCACTTTCACACTGTGATCTGTAGCTTTAACTTTTTAAACTGTTCGTTATTTTATCTTTCAAATGCATATTTCTGTCTTTCTCTCTGAAATTGCTTTGTTGATTTTGTCAACAAAAAAGAGAAAAAGTGCAGTTAGTGACAGTGTGGTCTCCAGTAGCTCTGACAGTTTGACAGAGCGGTGTGTGGGGGGGGGAGGGGCTTAGTGACGGGGCGGGTTTCGGCAGTGCTTATAAACTATACATTTAAAGTTGAAAGAAACTAAGTCATCATATTTATTTATTTTTAGCTGGCTCATTCTATCCTGTCCTGGGATGAAGTTTGGGGGTTCTTCCTCCTCCTCTGTCCCACTCCATGTGTTTCGGGCTCGCGGACAGGGCAGCATGACGTCACGCAGGGTTGGTCTTGCCCTTTTATTAGCCAGGGGAGCCAAGTGCCAGGTTGCAAGATCTCCTGCTCCACACTGCAGAGCTCTGTCCGGCAAGCGGCAGAGGGGATGTCCTACTAACTTCCACCCCAAAAAAAAAAAGCAAAAAAAAAAAAATAACTTTCTAGAAACTTTCGGTCAAACAGACAAAAAAAAAACCCAAAACACTAACTGACTGACTGACAAAGTGTCGCAACTCGCCTCACTCCTACTTTTATGAAACTTTTACACGTGTTTTTATTTTGTTTTTAAAAACTAAACCAGAGGCTGCACATCTACGTTGATCACCTTTGAATGAGCCGCTCGCGTTGAGAGTTCTTTATTTTCGTCAAAGACCTTATTTTTTAATTTTTGACGTTGGGATAAAGTCGCTTCTTTATCATTGACAGACTCGTGATGGCTGTCCTGTCACTAGCGTTACTCCTCGTAGGACTTGCATTGACTTCAGCTGACAAGGTAAGTGTCCGCATCGCCTCACAGTCAACTCCTTTTCTGAAACCGTTTCTTCTCTCCCGCTAATACTAACACCGAAGCGGACAAGTGGTGGCCGACACGGCAGCAGGTTATTTATTTATTCACTTTTGATCCAAACTTTCCCGTCTGAGGCTGTGTGAACGCGCACACTGCTTCCTCTGTGAAATGCATGTTGACACTGAACACGCGCGAGTTCAGCCTGTTACATAAGACGTATAATAGAGGCATTTTTGTTACACTTTTTTTTTTTTTTTTTTTTAGATACAAGCAGCTTATACAGTAAACTCTCCGCTCTCTGACATCTCTCACTGTCAGATTATGATTTCCTCTCCGACTTGTGCCGCATTCTAACGAGCTCTTTCTCTCCCTCTTACAGGCTGGTGAAGTAGAACAAGAGGGTGAGTCCTGTTTATCTTCTTCTTCTAATAGTTAGGTGTAAGTACATGAGAAAGTAGAGAGAGGACAACCTTGGTGCAGTGAGATCAAAGTGGGAGGGGGAGTCTGTGTGTGAGGAGCTCTGTAATACACCCCCCTCCCCTCCTCCTCCTCCTCTTCCTCCCCTTATTCCCTCTACTATCACCCTACCGTTCCCCCCATACACACACACACACACACTGCCCTCCACTCACACTTATACATTACACGAGCAAACTGCTTCAAGGGCTTTGTTATACAGGAAAGAAAATTCCACTTCTAAATCCCGCACATCTGTTCTCCATTCTGAGGTTAAGAAGCGAGTGAGCTGCAGCAGCGTCCACGTAGGATCCTTTTACACCCGCCGCTATCTTCCGAGCACCTCGAGGGCCCTCACACAGCAGCATGACAGCAGCTGCCAGTTGGACCGCGGCGGGGTTTTTTGTCGCTTTCTAGTCCGCCACCGTTGGCTCTTCTCGTGGCCCCCATTATCGGCCTCGTAAAAGCAGTCATTTCACCCATTTAGTGTGGTTTCTCTTCAATTTTCCTCCTCCAGCTTTGCTTCTTTTTCTTTTTTACAAGTTAAAGTCAACAGGCCTCATGCGAGAACCACTTGTAAGGACAGATCATGTTCCCAAGTGGTTTATGGGAACTTCGTCGCGTCCGATCATTTTCTCCTATTAAGAGTTTTCTCTTGGGTATAAAACTAATTTAACGCCATGAAACAATTGTTCTTTACACTAGTCTGAATTACTTTATTATGCTAATGGTTAAGTAGTTGTCTGACAACTTCCAGCTCTTTTTTTAACATCATTTTCTGGCCTTAATTAGAAAGGTAGAACAGACAGAAAGGGAGGGGACGACGTGCAGCGAAAGGCCACATGTCGGATTCGAACCCCGGCCTGGGGACATGGGGCTCTCACTCTACCAGGTGATCTAACTGGACACCTGAACATTACATTACATTACATTACAGTCATTTAGCAGACGCTTTTATCCAAAGCGACTTACAATTCAGATTCTATCACATTTCTATACCGTCGGCACAGCTACCTGAACATCTGTCTTTCCATCAGTCACTGTGTCGTCCTCTCTCATCTATCTCTGTGACTGTCATGTCACCTTGACAGCACAGGTTTTTTTATTTTTATTGAGCAGCTTCATGTCAAATCATCCCCTCTTCATTTCAGACACATTGCAGCACCGCTGCTCTCATGCTGTCTTTCCCACTAATGGAGTGGAACAGGAGGCGGCCTTATACGGCACATTTCGCGGTGATTGTTATGCTATTGATCACGCCTCATGAGCACGCTCCTCCATGGACAGGTGGCGTTTTATCAGGTCGAAACAAGCTATTTCAAAAGAGTTTTGGTGAATCCCACTTGAAACAAGCACAAGCAAACTTTGCATAAAGAGAGTCAGAGAAATCTGTTCAGAAGGAGTTTAGTGGTTGAGTTGCAAGTTTTTTGTCATGTTCTTGATTTGTAACGTGAAGAATTAGGATGTTCAGGTGTAAAAGGAGGCGAATCACACTCTTTTATTTTGGTTTCTTCGGGTTAGAACAGATCACTTTTCTCCTCTCGCTTGAGCACAACACGTTCATCCATCAGGTGGTCTTTTGTGGTGCGTTCAAGTTCCCATGCTTCCAGGTCGAGGTGACATTTGGTGCTTACAATTGAGTGCCACATTATACAGAGCGGTTAGTTTGAACGTCTCTGACAGCTTGATGGAGTAGCAGAGAGGGGGCAGGGCTTAGCCGAGTGTCGAGAAGAAGAGCGTCTTTGGAGTGCTGCCATTTTGCACCAATGTTCAACAATGACGAGCAGGAGGAGAAATCCATCACAGCAGAGAAAGACGGACCAATATATATCCCCTCTCTCAGTAGCGAGAGGTCGACTTCTAGTGGCTGTACTTGTAGAAAGAGAGGACTTTTACTCTTTGTCTGCACACCGCCTCTGTAAAAACCATGAAGTTTGCTTTGCTGAGAGTGATCTGACGAGGCTGAATGAAGCACAAATGACCCTTTAATCAACGAGTACTATCCGTTTATTTAAGCAATTCACTTTCTTTCAGACCTGTCAGTCCGTGTTTGACAAAAAAAAATACGAGATGATAACTAGAAGAGCACTCTGAGAGCACAGACCTCCGCCAAGGCCAATCCTCTCCAAAAGTGAACGGGTTCGTCCTCTGCACCCTTCCAAGTCTCATGAAAATAAGGCCGGTGGTTTTTCCCGTAATCCTGCTGACAAACATACAAACTGAACCGAAAAACATAACCTCTTTGGCAGAGGTAATAATATTAATGCAAGGAAGACGAAAGAGAAAAGAAATAAAGGAGAAAAATCGGATAAGATCTGCATTAAAGAACATACATGAACCTAGTTCCTGTAGAAACCCTCGATGGAATCCAGGAACATTAGGCCTCAATTAGATTTAAGGATTAATTGTACTCAATTTCAAGTTAGTTAGACTAATGACCACTGCATCATTGTTATTTAAACATGTCCTCTTCGCCATCTCTTAGTGAAATACCATCAGTGTTTTGCAGGATTGCGTGGACTACATGTGTGCAACCTTTACAACAGGCCCAACCTTTGTGATGTTGGAGTTAAATCAATGTTTCTAGACTAGAAAACAGCACAGAAAATGGATCTTCTGTCAAAAAAATCTTATGTCAAACAGTTTGACGTTTGACATTACAGTCGTTCACTGGTGTGCCCACATATTACAAAAAGCATTTCTCTAAACGCTTGAACACTTTTAATGTGAAGCAGCAGCTGTAAGAAGTAACTTAATTCACCTCTTGACATGATGTTCAGCGTGTGAACAGTAAACTGGTGTTAGTGACATTCAAATTCTCTGGATTACATGCAAGCCTTTCTGTGAATCCCTTGTGTTTGTGTAAGCGGTCCAGCGTGGGAATGGCAGACTCCGCCATGACCAATACAATCCACTACAAAGGAGGATAATTACTGAATGCGAATAGATTCCATAGCTATTGTTTGATTTTTTTTTTAAAGGATTAAAACTTTAATAAACTAAACTCTAATTTGATTTGAATCCAAAATTTTCGTGCCTTTAAGAAAAGATCAAAATAAACGTGAGCTGTAGGTCTGAATAAAGTAGTACAACATACAGAAATCTGCTCTTTTCCTTCTTCCGAGGAGGAGGAACGGCTCTTGAGATTAGACCTGGGCCTCTAGAGGATTAAGCGGTGAAACGCCGCTCCTTCAAATGCTCACTAATGAACACGGCTAATTCTTGGCTCCTCTTTGACTCGTGGCTCAGCAACTTTTTCATCCCTTAACGATTTTTCACACCGGCTTTACTGCAGCAAAGCAAACTGTGGGGAGATGTGTAACATCAGTCCTCCGCATGCTGCACAAGCTTTTCTCACCAATCGGTATCAAACAACCAACTCTGTGCCGTTGGTGTTTGCAGAGAGAGTTAAGTGAGCGTGGGGTAACGGAGGTATTTACCCCGTAAAAATAAGACCTTTGATGTTTTTTGCATGTTCAAAACCAGACACGTGCCTACAGTTTGCTTTGGTTCTGGAATATGATGAAGGTGCTCTGTGTCAACGTTTACCAAGTCAGTGTGAGGATGCTGCCTCCATCCCATCGCTCCGTGCGTCATTTTATTAATATTATTATTATTATCATCAGATTGGCTGATTTCCCTCAAAAGGTCGTCGATCGCATGTTTTTGACATCACATGTCTAGAAAGCGAGCGAACACTATGATTTGTAAAGTATGGCATTTCCCCAGATGTGTAATTTTGAGTTTCACCATTGACACCTGTTTGAATGTCTTCTAGTCAAAACCTACAAGATGATTACAGGGTTTCCAGATTCACATTGCATTTATTTTTCCAACCAAAACCAAACCAAAGATCTCAGAATGTGTCTGCCGTCTGCACACATTATGAAACCCGAAGCAGACCTCGTGGACATTCCCTTTTAAACTGAGTGTTTTCAAAGCCCACAGATTTCCTGCTGCAATTGAGTTGACCACAAATTAACCAACGACCAAGAGCCTGAGGGTGAGCGGAGCATTTTGCCAAGATGATACTGAAAACCATCCAGTGTGTGACGCACATTTCTTTTTTGTCAGCTCGGTATTTTACTTCTGACGTGTTAAAAAACGACAGCTTATCAAGGACCTCAAGCAGGAAGTGTTTCCTTCTCTGCGCTCTCTAACTGAAAGGCTTCGGCCTGCCTCTGCGGTGCCAGATCTAAAAGTATCGATGCTCTAAAGAGACACACGGGCATCTGTCTCGATGCAATTCTGCCCTTCACAGCCTCTCGTTCATGTCAAAGACCGAATGCTTTGGCTCAACACTGGTGCTGAGAAACGCCAATCAAATACATGCAAACTCCAGGAGAAGGCTTAGTAGTATATACATGTGTGTGTTTGTTTAGCCAGTCAAAAACAAATATGGGCAGATGCTGAACCCTTTAGAGCTCTGCTGCATGGACTCCAGAGCATTGTTTCCTCTTCACATCACTGCACATGACGTTCTAACAGTAATGTGTGGCCTCGCTGTCATTGTGTCCTTTCACAGACCAGCTGAGGAGCCGGCTGAAGGAATATGGCCTCGTGACTCCCTTCAGCACCGACTCCCACGGACGCTACCTGTCGCACCTGCTCTCCGCCACCCACAAGCAGCGCGTCAAGAGGGAGGCGCTGTCCTCCGACGGAGCCGAACAGAAGCTTTTCTTCAACATCTCCGCCTTCGGGAAGGAGTTCCACCTCCGCTTGCGCCCAAACACCCGGCTGGTGGCGCCGGGCGCCATGGTGGAGTGGCACGACGAGACGCCGGGCGTCGGCAACGTCAGCAACAGCATCGACGAAGGCGGGGCGGAGAGGATACTGCACCGTGAGCTGCTCAAGACAGACTGCACCTTCATCGGCGACATCACAGACGTACCCGGGGCCTCGGTTGCCATTAACAACTGTGACGGACTGGTAAGTCCTCAGCCATAAAGCTTCTTACTCCTCCACCCCGTCAAACCTTTTCATTACAGAAGTGCCCTGACCTTATCAACTCTTCTCTAATGGATTTTAAGTGTCCATAACTCCTGAGTTTAGCCTTTCTTTACGTCTGCGCTCGGGCATTTTTACAGCACATTGTCCTCGGAGATATTCTTCAGGCCTTTTTGTACAGATGTTTGTCACGGGTGAGTGGCCATCCATTGCGCTCACAAACCCAACGGATCTTCCCCCACCGAACATCTTCCCAACATAAAACACAAGTTCCCTTTGTGCTCCACAAAAGTCAGCAGACCCATCCTCCCCTTCACCCCCCATAAAACACTTGAACAGTAATCGGGTGATGACCTGGGCCTGAATCTTTTTGAGTAGGCCAACAAGACATCTCTGTGTTTAAGGAAGAGACTCGACTCGCCTACAAACTTTAAATGAAGTTCTCTGCAGGAATGCTGCAGACCTTTTTAAAAAGCAACACAAGGGACGTAGTGTAACTCACGACTCTTGGGCATTCGCAATCTGTTCTAAGATAAAGCTGATGTTAATTTATTGTTTTATTATTAACAGCAGAAATTCATCCTGCTAACAGGTGCTGTCTCAGGAGTAGTTAAATAGGTGTGCTACACCTGCGATCTGTCCAGCTGCGATGTGTTTGTTTTCCCCAACATGCATTCAGGAAAAAGAAGAAAAAAGTCAGGAATTGGTGATAAAACTCTCGTGTGTTTTTAGCCACAGACTCTAGGAAGCACAATGACGGCCGATCCAGCACTGAAAGGTCTAAAAGCAGGTCAGATCCATCCTTTATCCGGTGAAACGTCTCCACACGGATGAGATTTGCATATTATTTTGTGCGGACGTTCATTATTCCCAGGCAATGAATCCTACTGACTTTAGTGACTTCCTGTGTTTTTCTTTTCCCTTTTGGTTTTTATTGAAACATCTCTACAACTATGAGACGGATTGTAGTGAAATTTGATCCACACATCCACGTTCCCCGTGGGATGAATTTAAATAATTGTTCTTCCAGCCCCATTATCTAGTTAGAATTTGTCCAATGTTTTGTACAGTACTACTTTTCTTTAAGCTACACAGTACTTTGTGTTTAGCATTTAGTTCAGTGTTAATGAGCTATTCTAAGCATGCTGACGCAGTGCCCTGTCATCATAACTACTTTTATAGATGATGTTTTCCCAGTTATTGTCATTATATCCATTTTATACCACTGATAGTAATAATAATAATATAACAGCATAATAATACAAGCACACATTTTAAAGAGCAAATATTGTTTTATTCTGAAGAATTTTCAGACATTAGAACTAAAAAGTCTGTGGAAGAAAAAAAAGTGAAGAAATGTGAAAAAAATATTGAAATATTCTAAATAAATAAAGCAAATAAAATAAAACCACACAAGCAACAAATATATGAAATGGCCTCTTGAGCTCTGTTAATAATAATGGGAAATGTCTTATTATGGTAGGAATAACCCTTCTGTTTACTTTGGCATCATTCTTATGCATGTTCATATATCGGAATATAAATTTATGAAGTAAACTTGACCACGGCCATGTCTATACATCGTACAAATATAAGGCGTGGTCGAGGTCAGTGGGTAGAATGGGTCGTCCTTTAAACCAGGAGGTCGGCGGTTCGATCCCCTGCCAGATGAAAGCTGAACTCGTACAGTAAGCAGACTGAAATAAAAGCTGCTGACAGCAGAGGAAATCAAGGTTTTATGCAACTACGGACCCTTTTTGCAAATGCCTGTAGTTAAGATGATAGTTAATTCAATATGTTTCAAAACAGACGTGACAAAGTGTTTTTACACATACAAGGGAAGTCAATCAATCATGGACAAACACAGGGACGGAGTATGCCATTACCAGCTAATAAGAGCGTCAGTAAATGTGCCGTAAAAGCCTGTATAAACTTTTAAAAGGTTTTTTAAAAGTTTCTAAAGGTGTTGCTGATTTGAGCAAGCTCTTTCCATTATTTAGAGAAACTAAAAGTACAATTCAGATCCACTCTTGTTGCAAAATTAGATCAAGAAATAACAAGATGACACTTTTCTGCAATCTAAATGTAAAAACTACATCTGAAACACTTCTTTAAACCCACAAGAAATCTGCATTTGTTTCAAGGCTGAAGGTATTAAAGTAGTTTTTGAGTGAGGCAGGAATAAAAAAAAAGAAAATCAGTGGCGTCAGTTCAAATGAGAGACGACTGAAATGATAAATTAGGCTTTTCCTGTCTTTTAAATATCCCCCTTAAACAGACTCTTGAACTTCCTGGTAAACTGTTTTGAGTGATGACCTCGTCTGCATGAGACGACACGATCAGAAAAGTCCAACACAAAAAGTCAAGTTAATAGTTTGTTCTCAAATATGTAACAAAAAAAAAAACACCATCATAGTTTCATGTTTGAGAAGATGAAACCAGTGAATTTTTGCCATTTTTGCTTTAAAATAAATTACAAACATTTAATTGATGATCAAAAATTGGTGGCTACTTATTTTTGGTAGATGAACTGATGAATTAATCACCCATTTAAAGAAGATAATAATCCCATATTTCTACTGGCAGAATGAAATTTTAATCCATCTTGGATTACGGCCATTTCCATCTTGACTTTTTTCAACCATTGAACAGAAATGACCATATTTGGACTGCTGAGGAGTGACGCACGCACTGATGCCGTATATATTGCTCCGGTAGCTGCAGCGACCTGTCAGTCACAAGGTATTATGGTCTATTTGACTCTAAATGGACCATCATTTACTAAATGAACATCATGCTGTATTGAAGAAGACTTGAAACTAGAGATTGAGACCATAAACTCATGTTTACAATGTTTACTGAGGCAATAAATCAAGAGAGAAGTAGAGTCATTTTCTCATAGACTTCTATACAACCAGAGGAGTCGCCCCCTGGTGGTCATTAGAGAGAATACAGCTTTAAGACACTTCTGCATTGGCTTCACACTTCAGAACCGGAGGTTGCCGCCTGGTCAAGCCTCGAGTCTTTCAGACATGACTTGGAAGTCAAAAAGAAAGTTTTTCTGGTCTATTAATGCTTAGTCCGGAAATTACAAGAGCACATTAAGCACAATGGCCAAAAACAGTTGCAAGTAATATATCAAATCATCTGTATGTGCAGCTCTTCACGAGGCCCCACGATGACTTTCTGTCTATTTTCTAAAATGACGCGGCTGGTTTACGCTTCTCACTCACACAGACTCTTCTGTTTCCTCTGTACTCGGCCGTTTACTCCCCCTGAGTGGTTCCGGGATTGCACATCATTTGATTCAATAGAGTTTTATTGAAGTGGGAAAAGGCTCTTTAATTATGAAGAGTTTGGTAACCGTCAGTGAGCTCAGTCACTCGCGGGACAATGTGTTCACATAGTTTGATGTATTCTCACAAAGCAGCGTTGGGTTTCTTATTTGTCAGTCTTTCGTTGTGCTGCAGTCACATTTGAATGTCTGACAGAACTTAGCGTCTCTGAAGCGTCTCTGTGTGAACTCCTAATATAATCTCCTGAACAAAGATAGAGCCACTCTGACCTTTACGTCAGTCCTCTGCAGGATTTCTCCGTTTCCTTCGATTGCAGCGAGAGGAAGCCGTTCATCACTTGGGCAGATTCAGTCTCTTCAAGACATTTATAGTCGAACCTTGCCGGAGATTCAGGGCCGAGAGGGGTCCACACAGGATGTGAGAGTATTGCTTTGTAAATACTTGTCGTGGCAGGATGTCACTTTGAAGACGCCAAAGGCCATCAAACGTCTGTCTCTTTGCCCGGTGGAAGGCGGATTTGAGAAGACTGCTGCTGCACTCAAACACTGTATGATACCACGTTACAGTGTAGAATAATATCAGATTTTTTTCAATAGTACAGAAAATCTGGATAAAATCTGAATTTAAAAGTTGCAGCTTTCTGCAGCTCAAATACTTATTGATATCTCACTTTCTTTATACTATTAAAATTAAGGAATTTATTATTGTTTTTGATTGTAAAACAATCAATAATTAAGTAATGCTGACCGTTCAACCACCGTTTAGTTTGACCATCTCTTGTTTCTATCTTATCTAAATGGACACATAGTTAGCAGCTCATTTGTGCTTTTTACTCCAATTTTTCTACTCCATCACTTTCTATGACTGGACGTATTTTCTAAGCTGTCAACATCACAAGAGGACTTTATTTACGGTAAACTGCAGTGATCAGTGGTCTGTTACAGCAGGAAAACTACATTTTGGATATGGTGGGGCATAAAATCTGTTTAAACTGACCTGCCTTCAACAAAAAAAGGTTATTTGAGGGAAAAATCAGTGAAAACTTCACAATGCGATACATACAGTATGATGCAACACGATGCAATACGATGCAACACGATACAATACAAAAAAACCCCCAACTATTTATAGTAGAAAAATCCGGAAGAAGCCCGAACACTCTGTAGTGTAGCTATTTCCTCATATTGTATTACTTGAAAGTGACTCAGCCCAGTTCTTACGTCCCTTTCTATTTATTGGAAGGATTTTCCGTGCCATCAACGTCGCAAGAAGACGAGATTTATTGTAAGCTGTGATAATCAGTCCCCTTTTATGGCAGGACACAAACACATTTTTAATATGTTGGTACATAAAATCTGGGCAATAATCAGTTTTAAATGATGGGCTATGTGCGTTTGAACACTATGCTCCAAAAATCGCAGGTAATTTCTGATTTTCAAGCTACTGTTTGCTCCTCAGTCTTCACTGGGACCGTTTGATGTTTTTGGGCACAAAGTCAGCCGATCATTTGTGCCTATTTGCCCAATTTTTCACTCCACATTTATTTCTGGAGGCAAAATGTCAACATCACAAGAGGACCTCATTTACTGTAGTGTGTCATGAAACAAAACATCCAATCGAGGGGGAAAGAAAGCCTGCTCTGCCTCACGCTGTTTGCAGCCTGAATGCAAAGCATGCACAGGACTG